GGCGGAGGGACTGCGGGGAAGTTTTCGCGCGCTTCTCCCTCCAGCCCAGGCTGGGGCTTTGCACCCCCTCCCCTGGTCCCCGACTTCCTGGGGCGACCCCCGCTCGAGGGGCCCTCCCGACCCGGGCTGGGAGCACGTGGAGCCGGAGCCCGCATTCCTCTTCCCTCCCCTCCGTCCTCACCTGCTCCTGGTCGCCCAGGCGCCCTCTTGCCGGGTCAGGGTGCAGGAGCCGATGGCTGCTGGCCCTCCCCTGGGACCTGTTCCCTAGGGGTGACCCCTCCCTCTGCGTCCTCCATAGAGCGAGAGGCCAAGCCCGCAGGAGCCCTGGGCTAGGACTTGGGCCAGTCCCTTCCCCGCTCGGGACCTCACTTTTCCCTCTTAAAATGCCGGACTTGAATGAGTTCCGATAGCAGCACTGGTTCTGGGAGGAGGCCGGGCAGGGGATGTCCCTGTGGTCAGGCGGCCTGGGCTGAAATCTGGGCCAAGTAAACAGCTTAGAAGAGGCAGTCGAGTTAATAATCCCTCTAAGCCTCAGTTTCCTCATCTGCGAAGTGGGTATTTCTCAACAACGGCACAATCGGATGGCAAAATGTTTTTAATTGAGTGAAAGCTACAAGGAAGTTCATTGACATGTTCTCTCTACTTTGAATATATTTGAAAATATCTATGGTAAAAAAAAAAGTTGAACCAAAAAGAAAATAAATAAAACAAAATTCTTCAGATAGCCGAATAGTAGTGTCTCATTTGGGGTTTCCTCTTCTGTCTCCCCAGTACTGAGATTTAAAAAGCAAAAGAAACCCCCAGCTCTGGAGGAAACAGCAACAGAAATCTACGGGGAGTTTGCTCGACAGAGAGCTACAGGCTCAGCAGCAGCAAGTGGAACGTGCTTGCTTCTGCTGCCTTGTTTTAAGAGGATACGGAGGCCCAGGGCCCTGCTTGAGGTTATTTGTGAAGGAAGTAAATTGCGGGGTTGCCATTCAGTGGGTTAGTCTGGAGCCAAAGTGGACTGAGCCCGGGAGGCCACAGCTTGAGGAAGGAACCTGCTGCTGTTTTCCAGTTCAAAGGTCTGTGGGCAGATCTGCTGAGTCGTGGCTTTTCTTTGGTGTCCTCCCCAGCGGAAATGGGAATGAATATAAATAGGAACTGTAGCAGGCTGGTTCTGAGAGTTTTAAATCGGGAACTCAGGATGAGGGCTTTTGCTGTGTGACGCTGGACATCACTTAAAAAAATACCCTGGTCCTCTTTCCCTTCCTCCTCAAACACCTAAATCTAGGAGAATAATGCCTATATAAGAGTGCTATGGCCCCGGCCGGTTGCTCAGTGGTTAGAGCATCGGCCTGTGGACCAAAGGGTCTTGGGTTCGATTCCCAGTGAAGAACACATACCTTGGTTGCAGGTTCCCCAGCCCTGGTAGGGGAACATGCAGGAGGCAACCAGTCAATGTTTTTCTCTCTCCCCTCCCTCCCTCCTTCCCTCCTACGCTCTCTAAAAATCAATGGAGAAAATATTCTTGGGTGAGGATTTTTTAAAAACCCCAAAACTTAAAAAAAAAAAAAAAAGAATGCTATGGGCAAGTGTAGGTGACCTGGCCACTAACTTTTTCCAGGTCATTGGAGCTAAATGCTGCCTAAATACCAGGGCGTGGACATGGGGGAATTGTAATGTAGTGGTTAGGAGTATAGGGCTGGAGTCCAATTGTGTAGTTCAAAGCTGTGTGTTCTTGGACAAGTTACTTAACCTCTCTGAGCCTAAAATCTCCCCCTTTGTTATGGGAGATACTAATCCTACCTATCTATTATGAAGTTTCAATCAGCTTTACCCAAAAATTGCCAGAAGAGGCCCTGGTACATAGTAAGCACTCATCAAGTATTAACTACAATTATTTTAATGGTTATATATTTTTTAAGTCTTCAAAATCTTCACAAAACTCACACACAAACCAGGACCAAGAGGGTGCAAGTGGAATATATTAGTCATAATCTTTTTAAAAAATATATATTTCATTGATTTTTCACAGAGAGGAAGGGAGAGGGACAGAGAGCCAGAAACATCAATGAGAGAGAAACATCGACCAGCCGCCTCCCGCACACCCCCCACTGGGGATGTGCCCGAAAAGGGACATGCCCTTGACCGGAACCGAACCCAGGACCCCTCAGTCCGCAGGCCGACACGCCATCCACTGAGCCAAACCGGCCAGGGCTATTAGTCATAATCTTAATCTCCAGATGTAATTACCATTCACTGCAGTATTTGTTCTTGCAGAGTTTTCCTCTCATTTTAAAAAATATATATATTTTTATTGGTTTCAGGGGGAAGGGAGAGGGAGAGATAGAAACATCAATGATGAGAGAGAATCACCTGCACACCCCCTACTGGGGATCAAGCCCGCAACCTGGGCATGTGCCCTTGACCGGAATCTAACCCAGGACCCTTCACAGGCTGACGCTCTATCCACTGAGCCAAACCAGTTAGGGCTCCTCTCATTTTTAACGCTATTTTATATTGCAGTACTCCATCATTTTAAAGGGTACCATTTGGTGGTTTTTAGTGTTTTCCCAAGATTAAGCAACCATCGCCACTATCTAACTGCAGAACATTTTCATCAGTAGTGGTTGCATTTTAATAATTTTTTGTTTTTTAATTCCCCAAACTCTAGATGATGCCTCAAATGGAGGAGTCTCTAAGAAGCATCTCTGGGCCAGTGGCTTTGAAAGGGAGCACAGAGCAGAGACTATTTCCAGCCCTGGACATCACATCCTGAGGCCTACGGAGACAAGAGCATGGCCATGAACTTGGATGACGACGTTCCCCTCATCCTGACCTTGGAGGAGGCGGGCAGTGCCCCGCTGGCTCCTTCCAATGGCTTGGGCCAAGAGGAGCTGCCTAACAGAAGTAAGATGGTAGGGTGGACTGAGGGTGAGGGGTGGGGGGCAACCTCAGGGGGTGAGTTGTGGGCTTGATGGTCTGATTGTAGACACGGTACCCGAGTGCCTGACTCTGTGTTTGACCCCTGGGGTCTGACACCAACTCCCGGGAGATTGCAGGGTCCTAATCCTGCACCCCCAATTTAGGGATGCTTCCAGGAGCCCTTGCCTCCCTCAGCGCCTGGCCCCCCTTTGCACCTGGCTTTGTTCCTGGATGCTTGGTGGGGGACCTCGGACACACCTGCGCCTTGGCTAGCTTCCCTGCCCCATTCCTGGTTAAAAAAAGAAACAGATTTCAACACCGGCCTCCGTCCGTCCCACTCTGACGCTGTTGGCAGAGGGCAGAGTTGACTGCTGCTCTCCGCTGTGGCTCTGTCCCTGTGTGGCCCTGGATGAGGTGGGGCGGGGGGGCAAACATTTATCATGATCCATTGATTTGAGGGTTTGGGGTTTTGCTTTGTCTTCTTCTCAACCAGAGCCTAGCACAAGGTGAACCCGAGAGAGTTTGTGAGCTTTAAATGTTTTAAAGTTTAAGTGTGTTTCTGGCAGAATGAGAAGCCTTAAAACCCTTTCTGGTGCTTGTCCCAAAGCCATTTGCTTCACTTGCTGGGGCCTCGGGTCCACGAGAGGCTTAAAATAACTTGCCTTTTATGAAGGGGCCTCAGACGGCAGGGACTAGCGCTTTAGCAAATGGGCGTTTCATCCGCCGGCCGTGTGCCTGAGCCAGGTTGGAGGGCTGTTGCTCTCCTCCAGTTCAGAAGGGGAGATACGGATACGTGGGTCAGGGTGAAGACGAGCCTGCCCTCCTGTCCCTCTTGTCCAGAGAGAATACATTGGTTGCAGGGAGCTCAGCAGGCATCTCTTGGGAGTGATGAAGAGAGCAGTGGGCCTGTGGACGGGAGTGCAGTGGGCGGCCTGGCTCCCTGTAAACTGGCCTCTCCTTGCTGTGGCATGTTCACCCAGCTGGGGCGGCAGAGCTGGGTAGGCCAGGAGGGTTAGACTGTAAACCTGGGCTGAGAAAGCAGTGACCCTGACTTCAGGCGCACTTCTTAAATGCCCTAGAACTTGCAGGCTTAATGTTTGGCTCTTTCCTTTCTCTTACCTTAACTAAAATCCTTTTGCAAGGATTTTATAGAGGAGGAACCAGTGAGTCAGAGAGGGTAAGTAACTTGCCTCATGCCACACAGCCAGCAAGTGGAGAAGAGATTTGAACCCAGGACCATTTGACTCCATAAGTAACTTGCCTCATGCCACACAGCCAGCAAGTGGTGGAGAAGAGATTTGAACCCAGGACCATCTGACTCCAAAGTTTCTTCCCCCACTCCTCCTCTCTTTTCTCTTCTCTTCCTGCTCCTCTGGATTCTTTTCCTCCTCTTTTTTTCCTTCATAAGCTCTTAATAAATGTGAGCACTGGCCTTTAGCATTTAACATATGTTATCACATCATATAACCTCAAGATAGAGTTATTATTATCTACTAGAGGCCCGGTGCACAAAAATTTGTGCACTCGGGGGGCGGGGGGAGGGGGGTCCCCCAGCCCGGCCTGTGCCCTCTCGCAGTCTGGGACCCCTCGGGAGATAACGACCTGCTGGCTTAGGCCTGCTCCCGGGTGGCAGAGGGCAGGCCCAATCCCTAAGTGCAGCCCCTGGTCAGGCTGCCATCTTGGCTGACAGTTAATTTGCATATACTCACTGATTAGCCAATGAAAAGGGTAGCGGTCGTACGCCAATTACCATGTTTCTCTTTTATTAGTGTAGATATTTTACAGAAGAAGAAACAGCCTCAGAGAGGTTAAGTAACTTGTCTAAGGTCACACAGCTAGTAAGGAGCAGTGCTTCTCTGATCTTCCCTCTCATGCCACTGTGTAAGGTGCTTTGGGAAAGGGGTGTAAATAATGTGACACAGTCTCAACTTCAGAGTAGGACCCCCTCCTAGTGAGGGGGTGGGCCATCCATGACCAAGAAGGGAATGGACTGCAAAGGAGGGTGGTTGATGCGCTAAGGGTGTGGGTCATTCTGGAAATAGGCTCAAGATTCTAAATCGGAATCCCGATCACTGTCGTGGGTGCCACTTGTAAGTCCTTCCAAAGTATCAGGGCTGGTGGCAGGGTGTCCCGCTCTCCTGCAGGATCAACGTGGGGAGAACAGCCTAGTTCTGTGTCAAGATGAGGTTTTGAACCGATGATAGGGCTTGATGAGTAGGAAATAGGCCAAAAAGACAATGAAGCTAACCTTGGATAGGCCGCTCCTGGGACTGTCCTTGTAGCAAAGTTGGGGACTTATTTGGGTTTGTTTGTTTGTTTGTTTTTTATTTTATTTAATATTTATTTTATTGATTTCAGGGAGGAAGGGAGAAGGGAAGAGAGAGAGAGAAACATCAATGATGAGAGCGAATCATTGGTCGGCTGCCTCCTGCACACACCCTACTGGGGACCAAGCCCAAAACCTGGGCATGTGCCTTGACTGGGAATTGAACTGTGACCTCCTGGTTCATGGGTCAGTGGGTCAATGCTCAACCACTGAGCCACCATGGCTGGGCTGGATTTGTTTCTTCTTTTTTTTTTTTTAAATATATTTTTATTGATTTCAGAGAGGCAGGGAGAGGGAGAGAAAGATAGAAACATCAATGATGAGAGGGAATCATTGATTGGCTGTCTCCTGCATACCCCCTACTGGGGATCGAGCCTGCCACCTGTTATGTGCCCTTGACCGGAATCGAACCCAGGACCCTTCAGTCCGCAGGCCGACACTATCCACTGAGCCAAACCAGCTAGGGCTGGATTTGTTTCTTAAAAAAAACAACCACACAAAATATAAAACTGACAGGGTGCAGGGAAATGGTCCTTTCTGCACAGTGCGTTAGTGTCTCACCCTCTTACTGGGACATTTGCTAAAACCTCTAAGAACGAGTGGGTGTCTGCACCAAGCCTGGCTGGGAAAACAGCAGGGCCCGTCCGAGGAAAAAAAAGACGTCCGAGGAGGCCTGCTCTCCCCTTGGTTAGTTCATGCTCCGATTTTGGCATTGACCTTCTATCCAACCTCCCCCTTCCCTGTTGTTTGAGCATTCCGTCTGAGACACAAATCCAGCCCGGTCATTTCCCCAGCTCGAAGCTCCCCGGGACCTTCTCACCCCTGCAGGATGAAGGCCAAGCTCTGGGCCAAACATGAGGCCTGGGGTGTCCTAGCACCTTCTAACCTGATCTGCCCCATTTCCTGCCTTCGCCCACAACGTCGCGCTGCTAGTTTGCGAGTCCGCGCCCTGCATTCCGAAACCGCCTTGCTGGCACCTCACTGCGGAATGCCTTCCCCAGCCTCTTGTTTGCTCAGAAGCTTCAGTCCTGTCTTGGAAATCCTGCTGAGAATGTCATCTCTCTGAACCTCCCCTCTCGGACAGGGCTAATGACTGCCCTTTTCTGCTTTGGTATCTTGATGAGGCTTCCATTATTACAGGTGGCTTACTGCGTGGTAATTACTTATTTAGCCATCTGATCACCCAGGAGGCCCCGCGTTCCATTCGTCTGTGTTATCACCGAGCTTGATGATACAGTCAGCAAGTCGTGGTTACACCTCATGGGGTTTCTGGCGCCTTGTAGCTCGTGGGAGTGGCTGTCTGAGGGTCCTGCTCAGAGGCGGGCAGCCTCCCCTCCTGCCTCTCCTCCTAACCAGGGGTTTGAGCCTCATTTCTCCCAGCAGAGCTGATGGTCTAGAGCAGGGGTTCTCAACCTGTGGGTCGCGACCCCTTTGGGGGTTGAACGACCCTTTCACAGGGGTCGCCTAAGACCATCGGAAAACATATAATTACATATTGTTTTTGTGATTAATCACTATGCTTTGATTATGTTCAATTTGTAACAATGAAATGGGGGGTCAATACAACCTGAGGTTTGCGGCATTAGGAAGGTTGAGAACCACTGGTCTCGAGGCTGCCCCCAGTGCCCCGGGCTGTGGCTGACGTACCCTTGAGGCGGTAAGGAGCTGGCAGAATGCAGGCGGAGGTCTGCAGCAGGGTTGGCGCTCCCTGGGCACGAGGCACTGGGAGCCAAACAGGCTTTCTAAGGGCGTGCGCCTTGGGCGAGCCTGGCTTCCTCCTTGACCAGCTGCTGTCGTCAGTGGCTTCCTCTGGCTCTGTCCCTACACGTTCCTTGTCTTGGTCTGCTTGGGCTGCCGTGACAGAACGTCACAGACGGGGCGGGGGGCTTGCACAGCAGAAAGTCATTGTCTCACTGTTTTGGAGGCTGGGAGTCTGAGATCAAGGCTGTCAGCAGGTTGGTTTCCTCTGAGCTGCTCTCTTTGGCTTGCAGACAGCCGCCTTGTCACTGTGTCCTCATGTGTTCATCCTTTGCTCTGTGTCCTGATCTTTTCTTTTTTGGTTTTAAAGACGGCTTGTAGATTTTTTTCCCCCCTTAAATATGTTTTTTTTTAAATATATTTTATTGATTTTTTACAGAGAGGAAGGGAGAGAGAGAGAGTGTTAGAAACATCGATGAGAGAGAAACATCGATCAGCTGCCTCCTGCACATCTCCTACTGGGGATGTGCCCGCAACCAAGGTACATGCCCCCGACCGGAATCGAACCCAGGACCTTTCAGTCCGCAGGCCAACACTCTATCCACTGAGCCAAACCAGTTTTGGCAAATATGTTTTTTTAAAAAAATATATATTTTATTGATTTTTTACAGAGAGGAAGGGAGAAGGATAGATAGTTAGAAATATCGATGAGAGAGAAACATCGATCAGCTGCCTCCTGCACACCCCCTATTGGGGATGTGTTTGCAACCAAGGTACATGCCCTTGACCGGAATCGAACCCGGACCCTTCAGTCCGCAGGCTGACGCTCTATCCACTGAGCCAAACCGGTTAGGGCTAAATATGTTTTTATTGACTTCAGAGAGGAAGGGAGAGAGAGATAGAAACATCCATGATGAGAGAGAATCATTGATCGGTTGCCTCCTGCATGCCCCCCATTGGGGATTGAGCCTGCAACCCGGGCATGTGCCCTGATCAGGAATGGAACCGTAAGCTCCTGGTTCATACGCTGACGCTCAACCACTGAGCCACACCAGTGGGGCCTAATCTTTTCTTTTAAGGACACCAGTCAGATGGGATTAGGCCCACCTCTATGACCTCATTTCACCTTAATTACCTCTTTCAAGGCCCTGTTTTTAAATACAGCCATATCCTGAGGCCCTAGGGGTTAGGGCTTCAACATAGGAGTTCTAGGGGGACACGATTTAGCCCAGAACACTCCTGCCCTTTGCTTAGATGCAGATTCCCAGGAACCTGGCTGTGCTGCCTGTGCCCTTTGATCTTACCTAGAGGTGACCTATGATGGGACATTGTCCCTGCAGGAAACTGGACGGTTTGGGGTTTTTTTTTTCCTTATATGGGCGAGGATGGATTTTATCCAAGACTCAGCCATCTCTGGGCTATACGGGTAGGTAGCTGCCGAAATGCTAATGGATGACTCATAGGCAGTTGATCAAGGAGGCAGGTAGGAGCGGAGGTATTTAAAGCCTGGCACTTAGGAATAACCTTGAACACAGTTCAGTGGGGCTGGCCTTTGACAGTGCAGTTTAGAGCGAGCCCACGCACTGGGCATCGGGCCGTCGTCAGATGCCACTAGACACAGCCTGAATGTCGTGGGCCTTACAAGGGACTTTCCAAGGGGATTCTGGTCACATTCAGCTTTTGCCTTCGTGTTGCCTTTAAACTCACTAGCTGCCTAAGGTGGGCCTGTGCTCTGTGCCGTCTCTGGGTGAAAAGGGATTAGGGGCGAGGGAGGTGGCTGAGGCTTGAGCAGGGCACTTAGCCTCGGGCTCCTTTGGTGCTGTGGTTCGTGGTTGCCGGGTGACAGGCCACCCCTGGGTAAGGCTTAGGTAATAGAGCAGAGAGGCCCTCCCCCTCCTTCACCCTGATGCCCGGTATGATGCCTGGCAGTTACCTGGACCCCCGTGTGGCATCTAGCCACGTGGAAGGGCACTGTCCCCTTGCAGGGGGTCAACCCGTGATGCTCTGGCCCCCTTTCCAGCGTGTTCACGCAGCCAGAGCCAGTTGGCACCAGGCCAGGTTGAGATGGGCCAGAGCTCTTGGCCCTAGTGCAGAGATAGCCAAGATGAGCTGCAAAGAGCAGTGGGCGTATACCCTGGGATGATCGCCCCCCACGTGGGCTACGTCGCATAAGTCTGTGTCCGAGGTTCTTTGTCTGCCCATTCTCCCCAGTGTACTTGCTTAAGACTGAAGCCTGCGAGACTCGCAGAGCTTTTGCTGTTTGTGGTACCCTGGGTGGTGGAGGGGTCAAGACTGTGCCTCTGGAGCCAAGCTCCGGGCCTCCCATCCTAGCTGAGCATGGAGCTTAGCTTCGCCAAGCCTCCGCCTCCTACCTGCACACGGGGATCTGATAGCATCTCCCAGGAGGCTGCTGCGGAGATTTAATGCGATGCCTATTTTAATGTGTAAGTGCTTGACCGATCATAGGTGTGTTTAAAATGGCCGGAGACTGCGCTTGTTTGGAATATCATGGCGCACAAGCAGGGGTCCTGAACCCAGGCCAAGGCCGGAATCCTTTTTGCCTCGCCCCTGGCCCAGCAGGTGGCCGCCGCCAAGCGGGGAAGCAGAGGCAGCGTGGCAGCTGGAGACCAAACAGCAATTAAGAGTTTCACAGCCTCCCAGGGAGTGGGGGGCATTTGGCTCCGCCAGAGTCACTCCCCTGGCTTTCTTAGGGCCTCGCCAAGGCAGAAAGCCGGGTGTCACCAGGCTGACGGAGGCACCAATTAAAATGAGCAAGCACCCGGCATGCTGGGTTCCAGCCTCGTCACCGAAACGCGAAGCCTTTCGCTTCCTCGGCCCTCTGCGTCTTCACGGGGGACCCTGTCTGTTGCCTCAGGCCCCCCTGCCATGAAATGCCATCTCTCCCCTCCACATGCAGATAGCTGCCGCGGCGAAATGGCAGCAGTGGCAGCTGGGTGCGGGCGGGACCGGCTGCACCGCTCTTCACCCGTCGCCTTAGGGGGGTCTAAGTTCACATTTGCTCCGAGAGCTTCATGAGCCAGAACGCGCTCCTCCTCAGCCTCCGAGCTGGGGAGGGGACGAGCTGGAGAGGGGACGTAGGGAGGTGCTGATGGCTCCCAGCAGGGGCCTCTGGTGGCTTCTGGCTGGGGCGCAGTGCCCCGGGCTGCCTCGGATCAGATGGAGCACGGGGCCAGGAAGGAAGCCCTGCTCTATGGAAGGGACCAAGGGTTCAAGACTGCCCCTCCCACCCTGTGCTCAGGGACCCAGGGGGCGGCTCCCCATTCTCCTCCCTTTGCTGGTGAATTCCCTGTTTTGGAAATTTCCTGACTCTCTCTCCGTTCCAAGCTGAGGAAGGTCATGTACAAGGAAGAGAGTGGCTCACAGGTATTGAGCTCCTACCACGTGCCAGGCGGTGCCCGAGGCACCTTCCTGGGCCGGCTCTCCCTGGCTCCTCCCCGCAGATCTGCACAGTTGGTATCATTGTCTTCATCTGACGAAGGAAACCGAGGCTCTGAGGTGGGAACTTACCCAAGCTCACGCAGCCAGCAGGCGCCCACGGCCGCTTCGAACCCGTGTCTTCTGGCTCCAAAGCTCAGGCCCCTACCCGATGGGCCGCACACCAGGCAGTCAAGCTCTGAAGAGACAGGATTTTAGGGTGAATTTGCTTTTCCAAAAGGAAGCTGGTGTCTATCTTTATCTTCATCTTTGTTTTTTGTTAATCGTCGCCTGATGATATTTTTTCCACTGATCTTTAGAGAGAGTGGAAGGGAGGGAGGGGGAGAGAGAGGAGGGGAGAGGAAAAGAGAAAGATCCGTGTGAGAGAGAGACATCAGTCGGTTGCCTCCCACATGTGCCCTGACCGAGGTCTGGGATTGACCTGCAACCCAGGTACGTGCCTTTGACTGGAAATTGAACTCGTGACCCTTCAGTTCGCAGGCCGATGTTCTACTACTCAGCCATACCGGCCAGGGCTATCTGCATTTTTTTTTTTTAATTTTATTGCCTATAAGGTTTTTCTCCTACATTGGAGTGTGATACCTAGAACTCGCTTTCATGTTGCAAAAATAGCAAAACCGACGGGGTTTCACTGTACAAGCTGTATTGGATCATCACAGAAACCAGAAGACATGAGTAAGTGGGAAAAAAAGCCACAGAGGGCAGCCACGATGGCACCCGAGAGCAATCGACAGCTTTCTCCTCAATGTGCGCACTTCCCCAACCCTCTCTGCATGGTCTTGGAGGGTACCCCCACCACCACCACCACCACCAGGGCCATGCTGCGGATTGAGACTTCATCCTGCGGTGATGGAGAAGCAGGGGAGTGACAGGTCCCATTTCAGCGCCGGGTCTGAGATTCACTCGGGCTGCCCTGCAGAGAGAGGTTGGGGATGGGGGGCAAGGCCAGGTGGCATGGAGGTGGCCCGGGGACACGGTGGGACCTACTTGGATTGGCCTAAGCGTGTTTTAAGCAGGTGTTTGTTTGCTCACAGCAGGAGCGCTTGGGCCCTGTGGTCTCACACACCCCAGCTTCCCAGGTTTGATACCCGTCGGGTACCTGCAGGCACTTGAGTTCATAGCCCCTGGAGTGAATTTTGGTGGATTTGGCACTTTGGCGGGAGGTGAGAGAGCAAATGACATTGAAGACTCAACTAAAGGGTGAGCAGATCAGCCTGTGGACAAGTGGGATTTGGGGACAAGTAGGAGTTGGGGCTGCTGGGGAGAGGGTGTGCGACTTGAGGCATGGGGAGGGAGTAACCTGCCCAGGCAGACAGCGGGCGGTGGGGCTGCTTGGTTCAGCCAGTGTTGGTCTGCCAGGTACCGGGCAGGCACCCAGGCAGGCGTGTGACGCACCCTGATCGCAGAGCCCTGCCACCTCCGTCCTGTGGCCTTGCACAGTTTGGTTATCCCCCGAGTACAGATAAGGAAACCAGAAACTTAGCCCCGCTCCCTTGGTGAGAGTTAGGCCAAGTTCTTGGATCGAGTGACAGACGCAGCCCTGAAGGCCAAGTGCGCTGCCTCACGTTCCCTGCCTGGCCTGACACCTGGCCGTGGCCCGGCCCTTTCCAGGCCGTGAGCAGTTTCGCCTGTTACACTCCTGGCGGGCTGCCCTCCGTTCTGTGCTCCACCCCAGAAATCAGAACCAATAATCAAACATTTTAAAACGGGCTGCTCCTATAATCTCATGTTTTCAATACCCCATCATCTCGATTATTATTTAACCACCTTCGCTACCAAACCTCCCTGTGGGCTGCTTGCCTCTTTTTTGCGGGAGTCGGGGTAGACAGAGGGGGAGAGAGAGAGAGAGATGATGTGAGAGAGACACATTGATTGGTTGCCTCCCCGACATGCCCCAACCAGGGCCGGGGATCGAGCCTGCAACTGAGGTACGTGCCTTCGACTGGAATCGAACCCGGGACCTTTCAATCCGCTGGCTGATGTTCTGTCCACTGAGCCAAACTGGCTAGGGCTGGGCTGCTTGTCTCATGCTTCTGATCTGTCCCCACTTCACTTGCAGACCTTTGTCCTCCTTCCCATGAGCTTTCCCTCACCCTCCCCAACCGGTTAGGATAGTGGCTGCATTTCCACACCCTCCCCTTCTCTTAATACACTGTTTGCACCTCACTCTCTGCTCTCCGTGCCCAGAGGCCCACTGGCTCCCCAGCCTCTACGTGTGAGAGATTTGATTAATGTCTCATGTACCGAATCCGGGTTTGCTTTGTGCCATGATGGATTCCTAAACACTGTGAGAAAATGGACTTCGGGTGAAGTAGATAATTTAAAACATGGGCAGGAGGGCTGAGTTCGGCAAAGCCTCCTTCCACAGTGTGATAAATACCCCTTGGCTCATCCTGGTGAGTTTTGTCAACCACGTTTCTTTCCATCAAGGCTTAACCTGTTTGTGGATTTCTTTCTTTTTAAAAAAACATATTTAAAACATTTTTATTGATTTCAGAGAGGGAGAGAGAGATAGAAACATCGATGATGAGAATCATTGATCGGCTGCCTTCTGCACACCCCACACTGGGGATTGAGTCTGCAACCTGGGCATGTGCCCTGACTGGGAATCGAATCTCGGTCTTCTGGTTCATAGGTCAACGCTGCACCACTGAGCCACGCCGGCCGGGTGTGGAGTTCTTCCTGGTGTCTCTGATGCCTGTTTGAGGTGGCCTGGCTGAATTGGACAGGGCAGGAAGGTACAGTGCCCAACGCCCCATGTAGCGCCTGGGTAGGTGCAATTGTTTCGGGTCCGGATGTTTTATATAACTGCGCCTCTTCCTGGTAGTACAAGTTCTGCAAAGGCAGGGACCATGTCTTTTCTGGGCACTTAGTAAATTGTCATCAAGTAACATATCTGGGAGTGAGTCACCAGGTTCCAAAAACACCCAGGGTCCCAAGTGACTGTCAGTCACACCCTGGCCTGCTCCCGGAGCCATCTGGGATGACAGGGAGGCATACACATGTGACCAGGCCAGAAATAGCCCGGGCGGGGCCTGGCCCCTGCTTCCTCTAGGAGCAGCCTGCTTGTTGGGTGTTTAGGTCTCTGCTTTTAGGGCTTTGCAGTTTTCCAGGAGCTCACACATGCCCCGTAATTGCTGTCTCAGCCCTGGTGGCTCGTTCCCACCTCCCCTCCGCTCTGAGCTCACTCACCACCACCCTGCCGTTTGTAGGCCGCCTTCCTGTCTTGTTCACCTCTCTTTTTGTTAGATTGAGTTTTGTGTGTGTTTTTCAAAGACAAAGGTTTTTATTTTTATTGATTTCAGAGAGGAAGGGAGAGGGAGAGAGAGATAGAAACATCAGTGATGAGAGAGAGTCATAGATTGGCTGCCTCCTACACGCCCCCTACTGGGGATCGGGCCTGCAACCCCAGCATGTGCCCTTGACCGGAATTGAACCCGGGACCCTTCAGTCCTCAGGCCAACGCTCTATCCACTGAGCCAAACCAGCGAGGGCAGATTGGGTTTTTATTTTTACTTTTTCTTATTCTTTTAGCTCTTGCTGGAAATCAGCTCGGGTGGAGTGAACTGGGCGCCATGCTGGCTAATGGCTTGGAGACACTCCAAGCTGCCGGATGCCTTAGCTTTCACTTGTGAATGGTCGTCGACAAGCGTGATGTCTTCCCTCTGCGACTCTCAGGGGTCCCCTCTCATCACGGGCTCGGCTGTTCACACTTGGCTGGCCTGCCTCGCTGTCTGGAATCACAGCTTTTACTGCGCACCCGTAGCCGGATGGGTCGCCTCGATGGGGCCCAGATTGTAACAGAACCAAAGCGTCCTCAGCTCCGGGCACGTTGGCTCGCGTCGTCGGGATGTTTCCTTTTGGGTCAGACAGTGTCCTGGCATGTGTTCGGCTCTCAGATCTGGAGATCAGGAGGCTTGGGAGAATTCTCAGGTGGTTAGAAATGTGTGAGTGGCCCTGGCCGGTGTTTGCCAGTGGTTAGAGCATTGGCCTGTGCACTGGAGAGACTCGTGTTTGATTGCCAGTCAAGGGCACGTACTTGGGTTGCAAATTCAGGGTGTGTCCGGGAGGCAGCCATTCGATGTGTCTCTCTCACATCGATGTTTCTCTCCCCCTCCCACCTCCCTTCCATTTTCTCTCTAAAAATCAATGGGAAAAAATATCTTCACTCCTCAGGTGAAGATTAGAAGGAAAAAACCCCACAACAAACAGAAATGTGCGTGTGTTGGGGGCGTGACTCCGTCTGCCGATACGCCACAGCACGCCCCCATTTCTTCAGTGTCTGACTTGCCGGCATCCCCTCTTGGTAGCTGTGCAACCTTGAATGAGGAGCTGAGCTTCCATTTCTTCCTGACTTTCAGTTTCTTCATCTGTAAAACGGGGATAAGAATGTTTCCATTCAGGGCTGCCATAAAGATGAAATGGGAAATTCTCATAGAACATCGGCCTCTGCTTAAGACACGTTAGCTGAGTTTTGCATTTTCTTGAGGATCTGGTTGTGGCAAATGGGGGGCCCACACGTTAACGCCCCTGGCCACCTGGTGCACTGCAGAGATAACAGCTCCAGCAGCTGCAGCGTCTGCCCACTCTAAGATGGCTTCTTGATTTCTCTTATATTTTTCTTTATTGGCGGTGCCTCTTTTGGGCTGCCTTCCGCACTCGATGGAAGGGGAAACTGAGGACAAGGAAGAGAAGGCTGAGCCCAGCGCCTGGCCACTGACTGCGCAGGCCAGGCGTTCAGGCCCCTGCCGGCTCCTCTGGGAGCGGCACCAGCCAGGCCAGCCCAGGTCCCAGGAGAAGTGGCCTGTCCCGGCCATCCAGCTCTCTGTGGGAGGTAGACTTCCTCCCAGCTGTCACTTCCCCGAGGGCCGTGCCTTCTTGTCGCTGCTCTTCTGAGCAGAGCTGCTTGCTGTGGCAGAAGATCCAGGCGCTGGGGCGTGGCCAGTGCTCTGTGCGCCTAGCCAGGCCCAGGGCCCAGCCTCTCCTCCCCCCCCCCCCGCCCCCCCCCTGCCCTTTGCTCCCAGGTAGGGGCTGGAGCAGACTTCTGATCTGAGCTGAGAGGACAGCATCAGCTGACACGTCAGTAGCTTGCATGAAGCGCATGGCTCACAGCCAGCCTCGTTCCTCTAGCACTGCTGGTCTGCTGCCCCCGGGCAGGGG